TGCCCTCCAGGAATAAAGGTATCAACCCAGACATCCTGAATGGCAGCGTTGCTCACCAAGTTCGTCGAGAACGTGGGGAGGTGGAGACCTGACAAAGAGCCGGAGGGGACTGCTGGACAAGGGAGGACCGTGGAGGCTCTCGCAACCACTGGGCCCCCAGAGGGGTCAGCCAGTGAGACTGGGACAGGTGCTGTGAGTGGTGTGACTGTGGTGCAATCACGGAAGAAGCAACGTGACGCGCCTGAGTCAAGCGTGAAAGTGTGCAAGACCTCAGCTGAGGCAGGACCTGTGGTAGTGGACGCACTAGCACCTAGAGCGTCGGTAGACTCACGGGCACCTAGAGCTGCAGCAGACTCACTAGCACCTGGAGCGGCAGCAGACTCACTAGCACCTGGAGTGGCAGCAGACTCACTAACACCAAGAGCAGCAGTCCTAACAGAACAATAACCTCCACCACCAGGACGACCTCGCTGAATAACCCACTCACGAAGCTGCCGAGGGGTGGGGTCGTCCGGGAGAAGCAGTGCCCGCTGCTGTCCACCCCTGGCCGCAGCAACTGCCGCGGAAGTGGCCATGACAGACAGTGACGGTCAGGAGTAGGTCCAGCACCTCCAGCTCCTACAGCGTCAGCAGCACCTCCTGCACTCCCAGCAGCACCTCCTCCACTCCCAGTAGCACGAGTAGCAGCAGCAGCAGTAGTAACAGTAGCAGGGCGGTTCGGTGGGGCTGGGAGGCCGCACCTCCACCACTCCCAGCAGTACTCCCTCCAGCAGCAGCAGTAGACCGAGCAGCAGCAGTAGCAGTATTAGTAGCAGGGCGGCTCGGGTTGGCGTGGGCGGCGCGGCTCGGGCTGGGCGGCGCGGCTCGGGCTGGGCGGCGCGGCTCGACAGAGTGGCGCGCGGGCTGCAGGGGTAGGACGCACGGGCTCCAGGGGCGGTGTGCGGGCTGCAGGGGCGACGCGCGGGCTGCAGGGGCGCCGCGCGGGCTGCAAGGGCAGCTCGTACGGGCTGCAGTGGCGACGCGCGGCTCGGCAGGTCCGCGCGCGAGCTGTAGGGGCGGCGCGAACGGGCCGCAGAGGCGGCGCGCGGGCTCCAGGACCAGTGGGTTGACACCTTTACCCCTGGAGGACAGCGTGTGGCGATCTGTACGTGATTCCGGACCGACCGCCACCTGGCCACGTTTACCCGTCGGCCAGGGTCGAGTCTTTACACACTGACGACTGCGCCTCCTCAGGTAGCTGCTACTGGTCAGGTTTCTGCGTCAGGTCAGGTAGCCTCCCCTTGTGAGTGTCGCTCCCTGTCGCACCCGACTCTTCTCTGGCACCACCGCCTGGGTCACCCCTCCTTGCCACGTCTCCGTGGCATGCACCGTCGCCTCCTTGTGTCTGGTCTTCCCGAGTCTCCTGCAGGAAGCGAAAGTGACGATGAACGGGCACTTCACGTTACTCTGCGACAACCAGAGCGCGATCAAGATCGCGAACAAGCCCGGCTTCGTGAACCGCACGAAGCATATCGCACTCCGTTACTTCTTCGTCAAGGACGAGATTGACAAGGGCAAAGTCAAACTCACGTATTGCCCAACCGGTGACATGGCAGCAGATTTCTTGACCAAGAAGCTGCCACGTCAGAAGTTTCAGCACTGCACCGACCTCTGCGGGATCTCGAAGAAATCCCACGTGGCTCACCTTCAGGAATGAAGGGGAGTGTTGGAATAACCGAAAGGTTATCATAACATTCCCGAAGGCTCTCACTCGCGCGTCACTCCATAACGAAGCAACGCGCCTGTATCAGTATCGCAATAGCTTATATAGAGCATGCGGAAGATCGAGGGTCCTCCGAAGGTCAACAGTCGAAGACAGTCAACGGTCGTGATCCTTGACTGCCCAGTAACCGCACTTGGTAATTACGCGATGCAACATGGTAACTGTCAAGAAAAGCAATAGTCGTGGTTACTGTAGCAATGCAATTCAGTTAATAAGGGAATGTACCCCTCAGAGTACATGGCTAGCTAGGACTGCTATTTATTCCTTGTATCACTATCCTTTAATCATCTTGTTCTCTTTCAATCTTATCAACAAGGTCATTCAGAGACTTTATAGTCTTTCCTTAAACTTAGCAGACTTATCCTCTCCACTACGATTCTTCAGTTATAACAACAAGGTGCATGAGCATAAGCTTCTAATGCCGAGCAAGAAACCAGGGTGGCGGAGTAGATCAGTCTATTGCGTGAGCTGTGAAGCAGGTGATGAGTCAAGGTAGGGTCAGGAGGACGAAGCAGGAGCGCCGCAACCAGCTTGTATGGTGTTAAGCAAAAGAGAGTGGGCCAGGAGGACTGCCGTGTCGAACTGGCTGGATCAATGACAAGATAAGGCTGCGGAATCCAAGATTCAAGGAGAGAGCGGCCAGCGATAGGTGGTGGAAAGAAAGTCACGCTGAAGTGGCAACCTGGCAGGGTAAGGGGAGCATCGTTAAGCAAGACCACACCGACAAGAGGACTCACCTTTCCAGAAGTGTCGGAGAAAAGAGCCACGTAGGAGGAGGGGAATAAAAACCTGCGAACAAGGCACTCGTTAAAGCTGCGGTCTACATACTAAAAGGTATTTTTTTTGGGGGCATTTTGGGTGCACACCCTAGGACGAATGCTGATTGGGGAACGAAATGACCATTTTCCAGAAATGAGGGAGCGAATGTTTCAAACAGAACTGGCGAATCCCACCAATTTCGTGAAAGGTTTGGTTGGGGTGTAAATATTTCGGGAGGAGAGGGTTGTGTTGGCGATTTCGCCACAACGTGCAACCAACCCTGGTTGGGGAGGTGATTGGCGGGAAAACTAGAAGCCAATCCTGTTTCGCCCAATTTTCAGAGGCGAGGTTGTGTTGTCACAAAGCAGTAACTGCACCTCGCCACTCAAGGTTGGAGCGAAGCTAGGTGCTACCGTGTTTTCAAGTGATAAACCTAGACCTCCCGCAGGAAGTATGTAGGCGACAACTTTAAAGCTGCAGTATACATTTGTCAGCTGGGTTTAGGGTTTTTATTGTGTGCCTCACAGCTTTGGGGCAACTTTTCAAATTTCAAAAGTTTGTGAACCCAACCTTTCAAATGTATACTGCAGTTTTAAGCGAACCAGATCCATACTTACCTTCCAATAGGACGCCAAACAAGTTGCAGCAAACGCAAACAGCGTTATCGACTTGGCGGGCTGGTGGTGTAGAAGGGAAGCCGGGGTTGATGCAAACGAGGACGATCGATCTGCGTACAGGCCCGCTCACCACCCCTCGCTTGGGTTGGGACAGGTGCAGTGCAGACCAGCTATTGCTGAGCTGGATGGTCCTTCAGTAGTGACCTGGAGGAGAGGACCCCTAGGCCAATTGCGTTGCCTTGCCGCACAAAGGAACGTCGCTCAAAACCTTGACAAGTTTTGGGGTTGACGCGACAAGCGGTGGCAATCAAGCAGTCGCCGTAGGCGTCGGTCGGTAGCTCATCCAGTCACTTGTGTCGCTTTTCCGTAGAGCGGTGCCTAACCGTCCAGACTACCGTCATCGACTCTTACCGATGGTGTGCGACGTGCTACCACTGTCGCAAAGGAGAATGCCTTGCGAAGGCGACACTTCTCGCCAATCCGAATTGGGTTATCCAACCCATGTTCCCCGTCAGCCAATCAAAACACAGTAGGTGCTCTCTCGAAGCTCGTCGTTTCCCCCGCCGATGTGACAGCCCACCCGAACTTTCCCGCCGTTCCGCCGTTCTGCCAGGGGTTTCCCTCCCCGCGTGCTCCGCTCCGCGCATCCCAAATTCCTTCCGCGTGATTCTTTCGCCCAACAAGAACCAGTCCAGACAACCCCAAGGCTGCCTTGGTTCTGGTTGGCTGGTTGGCCATGCCATTGCCAAGTCTCTCATGCCTGGCCGTCTTTTCGAATGGCGGATGGTGATGGATCATGGGTGGTGGTGTGAAGAATAGTCTGAAAATACGTCAGTCAGCCAGGTCACAAACAACCTCACTGAACCACCTCGGATGTTCCCGAGGGCGAGCAGACAGCAGCACAGAACGGAACCCTACACGACGCTTCTTTGTGGTTAGGAGGTTCTTGCTGCACCATTCACCCTGCACCGCTTTTTCCCTCGCCTTGCTTAGTTACAGAACTCATGTTTTGGAAAAACTAGTGCATCTAACCACCAGCATGCTTCTCCTAACCGTACTTCCAGCTCGTAATAGTTACTGCCAGCTTCGACTGTAGTTGACGGACTGAACCAGCGTATCTTTGACAGCCATCAGTCAATCTCCTGACGGGGTCTAGTCTGATGGCGATTGCGGTGTCTCAAATCAGGAAGGTCGCCGCGGCGGTAGCGGACGAGCAATGGGGCGACGACCCTCCGCCGCTGAACTCCTACTTACCTCCTTACGCCCCGCCTCCCACCCCCGCCCTAACGTCCAAATCGGTATTTTCTCCCAGTATACCGCAACGAAGCTTCCCCCCTCCGCTCATGTCGGAACTCGCGTTCTCTCCTCGCTCACGCAACTCCGACGGTTTCCCTCCGGCGTTCCTCGAAAGGCAGTCAACCACGACGAGCTCCGTCAAGACCGCTCAGAACTCCGAAGAACCGCATTCAGAAATGCCGCTTCTTCTTCTGCGGCCAGACCCTAACGACGCTGAGCAGATGAACGAGGACCGGCAACTGTGCGACAAGGTGCGAGCAATGCAGCTCCAGCGATTCCTTGACGACTGCCTTGCGAGCGCCGTCGCGTCGCAGACGCCAATCGTCGGTGGCACTTCACACCCCGCTCCGCTTCTCCCGGGTCTCCCTCCTGTCGCATTCAGCACGTCCAGCTGTAACAGCGAGCCGTCGGATGGCAGCCGCGTGTCGCTTCATTCGCCGTCGTTGTCGCACGCCCCGTCGCAGGCACCGTCGCAGTCGCACTCGCAAGCGTCGCCCAGGGAGAAGCAGAAACAGGGTGGCGACTCCTGGCCGGTGTCGCCACGTCACGCGCACGGCGAGTCGCTCATGGATCAGGTCGACGAAGATTGGATTCGAGCGCAGGCCGCGAAACAAGGCCGCGCGCCTTCCGCCGCAGCAGACGACGGCGGAAACTACGCCGTTAGTGTGGGGAATGGCGCCAGTGGGGAAACCGAAGCGAATGAAACGACCGGGGAGAAAGAGGAGGGCGTAACCGGTCAAACCACGTGTCCTAAGAAGGAGGCTTTTGGGAACCCCGCGCACGAGAGGTTCAGCCATGGCAGCCGCGCGAGCAGCATAAGTAGCGGAGGAGTCGGAGCAATAGATTGGGTAGCAGGCAGCAGTATGAACGCGTCTAGCAACAAGTCTTCCCCCGGACTTCCCGCGGATGACTCCCCGCATCCCGCCATTCCCCCCTCCGCCCCCGCCTCCGCCCTCTATCGCGAAAAGCCCTCCGCTCCCCCCGCGTTCGCCTTCCCCCAGGCGCAGCCTCCCCCGGGAAACGCCGCTGGTGAGTTAAAGCCGCTCCGACCACCCCCCGGCGCGTACCGGCGGTCGGTTTCGATGGCTGACGTGGACAAGGGGAAGAATTACGTGTTAAGCGCTAGGGTTACTGAGCGACATAGCTCGCTGAAAATGTCGTCGTCGTCGGTTGAATTTCCAGCCCTGAGGCGATTCGCCGACGTCGCAGGCGACGCAGGCGACGTCGCGAGGCCCGAAGACGTGATCTGGAAGAATCTTATCGCGTCCGCTCAGGTACGCAATCGCGAGCTTTCCGGGCTCCGCGAGGCGTCTTGTAACGCGAACGAGCGGGTCAGAAGCGGCAACAGCGAGTGTGACAGTAGCGAGGGTCTAGGCTCGTTGAGCGTGAAACGGAAACCGGTCACGGTGCTAGAAGGTTTAGAGGAGGAGGAGGAAGAGGGAAATGCTATCCAGGTGACCCTTCGAAAGGAAGCTTCGCGCGAGATAACGCCTCGACCTTCCACTGCTCGAGAGGCAAGTTCGCAAGAAGCTTCTCGCGAGATAACGCCTCGTCCCTCCACTGCTGCTACTGACGTTGCCTCTACCCCAACAACCGACGCCCCGTGGACTCCCACCTTCGAACGAGACGGGGCCATGCCGCCGTCCACGCCGCAATCGGCGGCGGAGTCCGCGGCGGAGAGGGCCGCGCGGAAGGCGGCGCAGGGGTCCTGCATTCCGCCGAGGGCGCAGTCCCCGCGGAGGCGCAACAGCGGGTTGTTCCGCAAGCAGGGCTCCGGAAGGCTTGATGGGCCGCAGAGACAGGGGTCGGGGAGGGGGCTGGCGGGACTGGCTTCCGCGGCAGCGGGCGCAGCAGCAGGCGCAGGCGCGGGGGCGGGTAGGAGCATATCGCGCATGTCTTCTGTTAAGAAATGGCGGGTGTTAAACGCACTTGTTAAGCAGATGAACGTAGAGGATGCGGAGAACGAGACTGCTGACGACGGGAACGGGAACGGCGGCGGCGGCGGCGGCGGTGGCGGCGGCGGGGGCGGTTTCATTGCGACTGAAACGCATTCCGGGGCGGAAAATTCCGAGTCGGATAAGAGCGGGTGGGGCGCGCCGAGTTTCTCAGGAATGAGCGTTGGGGGGGATACGGAGGGCGGAGGGGGCGGGCAGACGGAGGAGTTCAGCGTTCCGTGGAGTTTCGGCAGTATGGGGGATGTAGAGCGGTTCAATAACACTACAGGGGGCGGGTTTGCTGATTATAGCGTGGCAGCTGCGAGTGTGTGCCAGGTTTCCCCCGCGATTTTTGAGGCGCATTTGCATTTGGCGGAGACTATGGCTAGGGAGGAGATGGAGCGGCAGCAGAGGCAGCAGCGGCAGGAGGGGCGGCATGGCAAGGGGCCACGAACGCCACGAACGCCACGAACGCCGAGAACGCCAAGGGTGAGTGAATGGGGTTGGTGATGGCGTGAGTCAGTTGCGTTTGGTACCTGTCCCGTCATGGGGCAGGGGCGGCATGGCAAGGGGTTGCGGACGCCACGAACACCGAGAACGTCAAGGGTGGGTGGATGGGGTTTGCTGTGTTGCAGTGCGGTTGGATGCAGTGGGTTTGTGGTGAAAGAGGTTTGGTGCGGTGCATGCAAATTTTCCTTGTCCGGCCATTCTCTTTTCCCAGCTCCTGCACTCCTTCCTTTGCAGTGCTTCCCCATCCCCAACCCGCATTCCTCATCTTCACTCCCTCAAACTCCTCCCAACCCCCCACATCCACTCCCTTAAACATACTTCCTGTTTCTTCCTCATTCTCTCCCTCTCTTCCTCGCTGCCTCAGGGTATGGGCTTCAGCAGCAACTCGCGCAGCACCTCCATCTTCACCCCCTCAAACACCTCCCAACCCCCCACACCTTCTCTCTTGCTCTCTCGTCCTCTTTCTCTCCCTCTCGTCCTCGCTCCATCAGGGCATGGGCTTCCGCAGCAACTCGCGCAGCAACTCCCGCCCCAACCAAAAGAGCAGTAAGTGTTGAGAGCGCATGGTGCCGAAAGCACCTCTTATGACCCTCCTATGCCCCCCTCCATGCATACACTGCATGACTTTGACCCACATTTGCCCTCGTCCACCCTCCTTTGACCGTGCGTTGACCCTCCTTTGACCTACGTTCTGATCTCCTTTGACTCTCTTACCCTCCTTTTTACCCACCTTTGACCCTCTGACTCAAATCTGACCCTCCTTTGACCCACCTCTGACCCTTTTTTTAATACCGTCCAAACGATTAGGGTTTGACCCACCTCTGACCCTTTTTTTAATAACGTCCAAACGATTAGGGTTTGACCCACCTCCCGCCCATGGCTGTCACTCCCGTCCAGTCTGAGACCCCCATCACGTGTCAGTGCGAGCAGCCAAGTCATGTGCACCATCTGTCACGTGGCTTGCATTGCACCACGTGTCAGAGGGTCACATGTTACTTTCACACCACATCCTTGTGTTGTTCCCTCGTCTACCTTCCATCCAGTGTCTCCTTTTGTCCCCCCTGCCCATTCCCCCCAAACCACCCGCAGCCTGGGAACCCCCACCACGTGTCAGTGTGAGCAGCCAAGTCAAGTGCACTATTGATCGCATGGGCTGCACTGCACTCCACCCTTGTGTTATTTCCCCTTTTGATATCTCCCTTCGTTTCCCCTCCCCATCGCCCCCACCCTTTTTTCTTCCCACTCCCCCCCCCGCCACCCACCCCCGCTCCCCCCCTTCCCCAGCCTGGGACCCCCACCACGTGTCAGTGCGAGCAGCCAAGGTTAAGCGAGCCATCGGCCACATGCCCTGTTATTTCCCCCTCTTACCTCCCACTTTCTCCTTCTGTCCCCCCTCCGCATTGCTCCCAACCCCCGCCAGCCTGGGACCCCCACCACGTGTCAGTGCGAGCAGCCAAGGTCAAGCGAGCCATCGGCCACGTGTTTCGCAAAATCACCGCCAAGCCGCTGGGTTTCCTGCGCAAATTCAATCCCGGTAAGCCATTTCCCCCCATATTTGGCAACACCTCATATGTATGTGCTTTGAATAATCACTGCCAAGCCGCTGGGTTTCCTGCGCAAATTCAATCCCGGTAAGCCATTTCCCCCCACATTTGGCAACACCTCATATGTATGTGCTTTGAATAATCACTGCCAAGCCGCTGGGTTTCCTGCGCAAATTCAATCCCGGTAAGCCATTTCCCCCCACATTTGGCAACACCGCATATGTATGTGCTATACATGGTCAAAGTGACGAGTCGAGCAATACTCGACTCGTCCATGGTCTTGCTCGACGAGCTTTTGCTCCGAGTCGAGCAAAACTCTGACGAGCAATTTTCAACATTTTGCATACTCGGGACTCGTCGTTTTAGGGCATGCTCGTGCGAGTTTAGGGGAAAGCTCGTCCGAGCACAAGACATGCTCGACTCGCCACTCGCAAGCACTAAGTTACCACGGACGCGTCCAGCTAGCTAAGTGGGGATTATCGGAGTAGACTAGCGGGGGAGGGAAGGAGGTTGTGCGATGGGCCACAGGCTGGCAAGCGCAAGGAACGATGTGGCTTTCTGAAGTGACGGGATCTGAATCTGGATCTTGAATCTGGATCTGGTGGTTGGGTTTTGTAGATTCAGTGCGGTGAAGAGAGGTAAGTGGTGGCGAATTGGTTGGGAAATCAAGTGGCAATTTAGTTGGAAAGGCATATTCGCTTTGCTCGACCAAAAGAAAGATCTGAGCGTAGTGATTGACACGACCAGTGGCAGACTCCGCAGCGCAATTGCCGGCGAACCCCGCGGATTGACGGGCGAAATCGCCGGTCCGCGCGGGTTGACGGGCGAAATCGCCGATCCGCGCGGATTGACGGGCGAAATCGCCGATCCGCGCGGATAGACGGGCGAAATCGCCGATCCGCGCGGATTGACGGGCGAAATCGCCCGCGAGTTAAAAAAACTCGTCGAGCACGCAATCTCCACGAAAATGCTCGTCCCCCAAGGCGAGCATGCGACGAGTAGATAAAACTCGTCGAGTAAAACTCGCCTCGCCTCGGACGAGTAGATAAGGCTCGTCACTCGTCCCCCAACGAGCATTTCGAACGAGTCGAGCAAAAACCCTACACTCGTTGCCCATGTATAGTATGTGCTTTGAATAATCACTGCCAAGCCGCTGGGCTCTCTGTGCAAGCTCACCCCGGTAAGCCACATATCTTCCCACATTCTGTGGCTTGGCACTGTGCAAGCTCACCCCCGGTAAGCCACATATCTTCCCACATTCTGTGGCTTGGCACTGTGCAAGCTCACCCCCGGTAAGCCACATATCTTCCCACATTCTGTGGCTTGGCACTGTGCAAGCTCACCCCCGGTAAGCCACATATCTTCCCACATTCTGTGGCTTGGCACTGTGCAAGCTCACCCCCGGTAAGCCACATATCTTCCCACATTCTGTGGCTTGGCACTGTGCAAGCTCACCCCCGGTAAGCCACATATCTTCCCACATTCTGTGGCTTGGCACTGTGCAAGCTCACCCCCGGTAAGCCACATATCTTCCCACATTCTGTGGCTTGGCACTGTGCAAGCTCACCCCCGGTAAGCCACATATCTTCCCACATTCTGTGGCTTGGCACTGTGCAAGCTCACCCCCGGTAAGCCACATATCTTCCCACATTCTGTGGCTTGGCACTGTGGAAGCTCACCCCCGGTAAGCCACATATCTTCCCACATTCTGTGGCTTGGCACTGTGCAAGCTCACCCCCAGTAAGCCACATATCTTCCCACATTCTGTGGCTTGGCACTGTGCAAGCTCACCCCCGGTAAGCCACATATCTTCCCACATTCTGTGGCTTGGCACTGTGCAAGCTCACCCCCGGTAAGCCACATATCTTCCCACATTCTGTGGCTTGGCACTGTGCAAGCTCACCCCCGGTAAGCCACATATCTTCCCACATTCTGTGGCCTGGCACTGTGCAAGCTCACCCCCGGTAAGCCACATATCTTCCCACATTCTGTGGCTTGGCACTGTGCAAGCTCACCCCCGGTAAGCCACATATCTTCCCACATTCTGTGGCCTGGCACTGTGCAAGCTCACCCCCGGTAAGCACTGTGTGCTTTGAAGTTTCACCTCCAAGCCACTGAGTTTCCTGCGTAAACTCAACCCTGGTATGCCAGTTTCCCCCACATCTTGAAACACCTCATATGTGTGCTCCAAAAAACCATCTCCAAGCTGCTTGCTGGGTTTGCTGCGCAAACTCACCTCCCCATTTTTTCCCCTCGCTTTCTTGGCCGTTGTTACCATTTTGTAGGCTAATGCTTTTTCCCCGTTATGTTCTGAATGGGCCTTTAGCCACCATGAGCTAATCCCATATGAGGCATCGTGTGTACTTGCCCCCCCCTTCCCCCTCTTGTCGTTACTGCTTATTCTTTCCCTCGCGTTTTCTCCCTCATCCCCTGTCTCTCCCTACCCCGCTCATTGCATTGCATGGCCTTTAATGTCTTTTGCAATCTCCTCTTCCCCTGTGCCCAACAGCGCGCCGGGCTACGTGAATGAGCATCCCTGCCTTTCTCAGTCAACACGGTTACAAGTACATGCCTTGCTTACCTCCATACATAGACATCACAGGATGGTTCGAATCAAAGGTGCCATGGGTTTTGTGGCCTCTCCAGTCCCGTGTTCACCAGCGTCCCGGGCCGCATGAACGTACATCCCTGCTTTTTTCACCGTGGTTACAAGTACACTACCCTGTTTGCCTCCGTACCAGTCCATACCGGTACACACGGTTCATCGAGGCATCGTTAGACAGTGCCATGGGTTTGCCGTTTGTCAGCTTGCGCGGGACTTTGGTTTGGTGCTGTAGTTTGGCTGCGATGGCACTCCATAGGGTTGCAATACTTGTAGAGTTCAAACATGATACATGGTAAATTTTGAAGCAGGGCTTCAGAGATCAATATATTGCACAGGATTCTATAGTTTCAAGTTCTGGCTGTTTTTTCAGCGCGGAGTTGCTTGACAAGTCAGGTTTTTTCAGTACAACCCCAAAACCAATTTGGGGCCTCCCTGTGTTCAGAGGTTGAATGACTTACAGTGTACCGTAGGTGGATCACGGATCACAACAATAAGCAACTTACACGGCCTGATGTCTTCTTTACTACTACAGTATGGACTCTGGAGTTTATAACACATGATAGACTTCTTTACTACGGTATGGACTCTGGAGCTCATGGACAAAGACGTGGTCGTTGAGAGTGTTGGCTGAACTTATCGAGAGGATAAAATGTTTCTACATGTGCTTCTATACTACTGCATGCATCAGACAAAAACGTACCGGTAATATAGACACAACTGCTGCTTGTACGAAACTTCCACTTTATCAAAAAAATTGAAGTCTTCCCTTTTGGCAACAGCACTCGAAAGGTCATATGGTGCACGGCAGCAGTTGGGCAGGCAAGGATGAGATAATGTACACTACACTGGCTTGGTGAAGCGTGCATGCATGGGGTTTGTGTGTCTAGCCGCTCTAATCTTCCCTGTTCCAACGACACTCGGTACGTCTGTGACAGCAGTTGGGCAGGCTATGATGAAATTATGTACACTGGTTGGGTGAAGCGTTTGGGAAGTGTGGATAGCGTGTGTGTGTGTCTGGTAGCTTTGGGAAATTCTCCTCAGGTTTACACTAGGGTTTCCCTGGGGGCATTTCTGTGGTTTTGCAGAGCCTGTTACATGGAGCAATCCTGGTGCATGGAGCAAGTGTGGTGAAGCAGGTAAACTGATTCCTTGTGGGTCACCGATGCGGGCGGCGGGAGAAGAGCAGGGCGACGCAGCAGCAGAGGAGGAGCGACCCTAGTAGAGCCTGGAGGGGGGGGAATGGAAAGGGGAGAGAGAGTGGGGGGCGCTTAGAACAACAGGAGAGCCTGGGTGGGAGGGATGGGGAGAGGAGGTGTTGATTGGGAGCATGATTGGGTGTAAGTGAGGGGGACAGCAATCTCCTTTGGGACGGTGGGAGAAGAGCAGAGCGATTCAGAAGCAGAGAAGGAGCGCCCCCAGGAGCAGACTCACCGTGTTGAGGAATTGCATTCGCTCCAGCGAGGTCAGCCGAGCGTCCAGCAGCTGTAGCCGGGCCGCCAGGCTGGCGGTCGATGGTGATGCTGACGTGGCAGCTGGCTGTTGCGGTGCTGACGTGGCAGCAGCAGCAGCAGCAGGTGACGGTGGTGGCAGTGCAGGATGCTGAGTTGGCGAAGATACTTCATGAATGATGCTGGCACCACCACTTGTGGCACCAGCACCACCAGCTGTAGCTGCTGCTCCTGTAGCGGCAGCAGCTGTAGCGGCAGCAGCAGCAACAGTGCGCATAGCTGGCAGTACGCCATAAGAGGATGTAGCGGTGCCGGCTGTAGCAGCAGATGTAGCAGAGGAGTACGATGGTGGCATGGACGCTGCGAGTGCTCTGTTGTACTCTCTGCTGCTGCTGCTGGTGCCAGCGACAGTCATGTTAGGTAGTAACGATGGAGCAGCCTTTGGGGGAAGGGGGGAAAAGAGGGGAGGTGTGTTTTCAAGAGAAGAACGAAAGGAGTTCATACGATGTATTTTTTGTGAGGCTCCTTATGCTAGGAGAGGCCGATGAACTCGATGAAAACGGAAAGTGTTTTGTTGTCTTGCTGGGAGAGTCTCAACGCTTGACCAATGACCACCAATGTATGATCAGACAGGTGGGGTGGTGGGGTAGTGGTCAACTTGGACGTAGACACACTCAGATAAACGTCATTACTTCATCATCTTCCCCTTTACGGAACGGAAGCCATCAAGCAACTGCCTCGCACCTGAGGGGATACGCGTTGCAGCAAGGCGTGCAAGCGGGCGGCCTGGTGGCTGCGATGGACGTCCACCGACTCTGAGACGAACACTCGGTTGCTGTCAGGTGAGGCGCTGTCGAGGTCTCTCCACAGCAGGTAGCCTCTCACCTGGGGAGATACCCGTTGCAGCAGGGCGTGCAGGTGGGCGGCCTGCTGGCTGTGGCGGACGTCCACCGACTCTGAGAAGAACACTCGGTTGCTGTCGTGGATTATCTCCACGAATGGCTGCATGCCACGTGTCACAGTATTGGGGGGTGGTGGATGATAGGAAAGATTGCAATAAAAAGACGACTACTTTTACATTGTAAGAAAGGTTGGAAGGAGGAGGGATGCAGGAGGGGCGAGGATGCAGCGTGTAATGCTGAGATTTTTGCAGCAAGTAGACTAGTCCACTGTGATTGCACAATTTTCGAATGGCATCACTTATAAGAAGTCCCAAAAGTGATTCCAACACAGTCCTCGTGTGTCGATTCAAAAATAAGATGTGGAACTTAGTAAGTTTCATCTGCAAGTTATTAGGAATAGGCAAAATAGCATCCCGGCTGCTGCCCTTGATCTTTTGAGAATTCTCAAAGGTGACACAAACATTGCCTTTGATTTGCACAGAGAGCCAGTGCCACTGTACCTTACCGACATAAAACCCACCGAACCGAGTCACACACCTTGGTAACGTACGTCCCATCCAGCCTCATGGCTCTCCCTGCGGCAGCAACGGCATCCCGGCTGCTTCCCTTTATTTGCACAAAGCGCCTCCCGTTGAGACCCTTGATTCCCACCACCTCCACTGAGATCTGGCATAGACAAAATAAAATTGAAAGACAGCGAGGCACAGAGATACGACAAATCGCATGCCCCTCTTGAGATCGATGTGCCCACCACCACTCTAAACCCTATACACACACACAGACAGTGTGATGCAGACAGAGTGACAAAGCGAGCACATGAAATTACCCAAGGGGTTGTATACACAGCAAACGCAGTCAGAGAGACACATAAGGCACATGCTTAAGGAGGGAAATGGGATGGAGTGGAACCAGCACGCACAAGTGTGAAAGTGAAATTTGGATTTACAAGACACTCATGGTTCATGTTGCTTTCCAGAGGAATATACACTCTGTACAAAACCCCTTTACTGTTCTTTTTCTTTTTTTTTTCTTCATTGATTTTCATATAATCTGCTACTTAATTCCACTGCTCCGATCTGACCTGGTCGTCCTGTGAGGCGCCTCAAAAGTGATCTGACCTGGTCGTCCTGTGAGGCGCCTCAAAAGTGATCTGACCTGGTCGTCCTGTGAGGCGCCTCAAAAGTGATCTGACCTGGTCGTCCTGTGAGGCGCCTCAAAAGTGATCTGACCTGGTCGTCCTGTGAGGCGCCTCAAAAGTGATCTGACCTGGTCGTCCTGGAAAGCAGTGCCTGACATCTCCATTTAACAGCCCTGCCTGGTACCTGCCTCGTTACAAATGCACCTGCACCTGCCCTCCCAACACCCGCCCTCAATGCATGGTCTTTGCCCTCAATCCCGGGTGCGATCTGACCTGGTCGTCTTGGAACACAGTGGCTGACACTTCCATGAACAACCCTGCCTTGTACCTGCACACAGCAGCACAACCAGAGACAAGTGAAGCGAGTCAGCTTCAAACGGAGATGGAGGAACCTTCCTGATACCAGGGTTGGACTTGGTGTTCAGCCACACAGAATCCAGATACTCTGCTGGTAACCTGGTTACCACCACACAACGAGTATAGCCAACGTCACCACCATTCCCATCATCCTTGCCTGACTAAGCCTGCAACTCTGGAGATCCCAATGAATGGTGGAGATTCAGTCGCAAGTGGAAAACCCAATGTCTGAATCACTTAATTCGCAGAAAAGATGCACCACCACCATAACCAATGGTAACCTGGTTACCATCACCGAATCAAAAGCACAGCAGCCAGCATTGCCACTGCCCCACTCACCCAAGCATCACTAGCCCTGCCACTGTGGACGGCCCAATGTCAAACTCCACTTGGTGACATGCCTTGCCTCACAGAATAGATGTACGTACCACCACCACAGCTGCTGGTTACGCGGTTACCACAAGAGCAGCACGGCCAGCATCACCACCACCATGATATTCACCCAAGCCTGACAAGCCCTGCCACTGTGGAGTGCCAGATATCAAACGCCAATTGCGGCTGAATCACATGCCCAACAAAATAGACGTACCACCACCACAGCTGCTGGTAACCTGGTTACCATAAACCTCATCACTCACCCAAGCCTCACTAGCCCTGCGACTGTGGAAGGCCCAATTTCAAACGCCACTTGCGGCTGAATCACATGACTTATCATGATTGGCGTACCACCACCTCAGCTGCTGGTTACAAGGTTACCACTGCAGCACTCACCCAAGCCTGACTAAGCCTGCCACTGTGGAGAGCCCGATGTCAAACTCCACTTGCGGCTGAATCACAAAGTCGCCCTCTGTCAGTGGCTGGAGGGTGTAGGGTGTGAAGCCACAGGCGATTGGGAGAGAGGGGATTGGGAATCAGGGTTGAGGGGTGTAGGGTTGGGACACGACCGGAGATAGCGGACTGGACTTAGAGAGGGGGACTGGGAAACAGCACGGAACGGCCCGACCCGTACTCGCACAACTCTCAGTGTCACCTCACGAATGAGCACAGCGAATCGGTTGTTGCAGCAGCGGACGCGGATCCAATCAGATTCCCTCACAGGCCCCTCTGGGTGCAGCCCAGGCAGGTAGAAGAAGACATCCGTGTAGCACAGCTGGCGGCGGTGGTGGGTGGAGGGGTCGACCACTCGCAAGATATCCTCCTCCGTAACCTGGGGAGGTGGCGCAAAGAAAGATGAGGACTGGATTCTAGCAAGACTCCCTCACAAGCCCTTCTGGGTGCATCCTTAGTAGGTATGATTTTGAATCGACTCAAAAGTAGCCCCTCTGGCTCTGGGTGCATCAGTAAGTAGGGAAAAACGTCCGTGAAGCACAGCTGGCACCGGTCGTGCTGGTTGGTGGTCGTCCCACACTAACGGAATCATAGTTGAGCCCATTTGCCTTTTGATAAGCACGCATAATGCTCGACATTTGCAGTGATACCTTCTTGTCTCTCCTAAGGACAAATCAGGAATAATCTTTGACAATAACCAAGAGTGATTCAATTGTTGCCCTGTATGGTAGGAGTGACATTCTGTTGCCCATGGATGGTCGGAGTGACCTTTTGTTGCTCTTCAAGACAACCTGCGAAGCGTCACGTCTTTTAATAAATCTCATAACTCGTCTAGTCATGCCTACCCATGTGATCATACCACTGTGTTGCCCATGGATGGTACGGTGGTACCTTCTTGTCGCTCTTGAGGACGAACTGCGAAGCGTCGCGGGCGTGAAAGGGGTCAAAGTTGTTCACCACTCGCAGCTGTGCACATGGGCACACAGAGAGCAGATGGGCAAGAAACGGACAGGGATAGACGTGTATATGAATGTGTATATTGAGAGTCGACTCAAACACGAATAGGAGGCGTCGCGGGCGTGGAAGGGGTCGAAGTTGTTGACCACTCGCAGCTGCGCACATGAGCACACACAGAGAGCAGATGGGCAAGAAACAGACAGGGATAGACGTGCATATGAATGCGTATATTGAGAGTACTCAAAGATGAATGGGAGGCGTCGCACGTGTGAAAGGGGTCAAAGTTGTTCACCACTCGCAGCTGCGGACATGGGCACACAAAGAGAAGATGGCCAAGAAACACACACGCACGCACGCATGCATGCAAAGATGGACATGCATAAGACACAGAACACATGCCCAAAGCAGCAACACCATGGACACAAGTGAGTACAGAAAGCTGCACCCATGCGTGCTTCTCACGTAGAGAAAGAAAGCAGCAGAACTTCAAACTCTCATGAGCCGCGGGGAGGAAAGGGCGGAGTCTGGGTGTGGAAAAGCAGGAAAAGCGGCACCCCTACAGCTCCTTTTGGATGTGGCGCGTTGTAGGCTTGCAGGAACTGTCAGTAGCGGACATATGGGCTGCGGAAGCCTTACTTCCATCAACTCACGGACCACCTTTGCAGCGTGGCAGCAGCGCGGTCGGCTGCCATGGCAGCAGGCAGGGGGGAGGGCGAGGGATGAACGCACACTGTGGCTACTGAAGGCCGTTTGAAAGGATGTTGCACCACTGGGGCTGTCAGTGTGAAGCCCCACCTGCTCGCTGGGCTACAGGTGCATGCGCTGCACGCCTTGCACCCCCTCCACCACCTCCACCACGCCCTGTGAGTCCGAGTCCGAGTCGGACGAGATGGAGATGGGCCCTGTGCTGCTGCTACTGTTGCAAACGTTTTGGATATGACGCGTTGTAGGCTTGAGATGGAAGGGTCTTGGACTTGTTCGGGATGGCGGGATCATGTACACTCAGGTGAACCTTCAAACTCACATGCGCCGTGGAGAGGAACGGCTGGATGTGGGTGCGGAAGAGCGGGCAGAGTGTTGCCTCTATGTCCTCTGCCGGCCTTGGCACGCTGCAGATGGAGGGTCTTAGCTTTATTCAGGATAATGGCTCATACACGCACAGGTGGTACTTGTACCTCACATGCGCGGTGGAGAGGAAGGGCAGGATTGGCGTGCGGAAGAGCGGGAAGAGATGTGCCTCTATGTCCTCTGCTGGCCGTGGCATGCTGCAGGCTTGCAAATTAACGGTCTGGTGCTTTCAGTATGGCTGGCTCAAGCATTCACATGTTAAACTCACATGAGCCGTGGAGAGGAAGGGCTGGATCTGCTGCGTGCGGAAGAGCGGGAAGAGCGGGAAGAGCGGGAAAAGTGTTGACTCCAATTCTTCTTCTGGACGGGGTATGCTGCAGGCTTGCAGATGGAGGGCCTTGGGTTTATTCAGGATAATGGCTCATGCACACGCAGCTGGAATTTCAAACTCACATGTGCCGTGGAGAGGAAGGGCTGGATCTGGGTGCGGAAGAGCGGGAAGAGTGTTGCCTCCACTTCCTCTGCTGGTCGCGGCATGCTGCATGCTTGCAGGTCGGAGAGAACTCGTGATGGCAGGTGCGAGTGGACTCCCCCGTCCTGTTGGACAAATACATGTAGGGAGAGGAACAGGAGGTATGAGCAGAAGCAGCAGTAGCGGCATGCTGCATGCTTGAAGGTCAGAGAGAACTCGTGACGGCAGGTGCGAGTGCACACCCCCGTCCTGTTAGGCAATGTTGTCGGGATGAACACATGTTTGCAGGAAGCAGCAATAGCGGCACACTTGAACAGAACTTGTGACAAGAAGTGGGTGGGTGCGGGCTCCTTGGTCCTTTTGGGGCAACAGCAATAGAGGAGAGGAACAAAGTATGTAGGTACGGGATGAGGCGCAGAAGTACGGGAGGGCATGGCATGGCACGGCAGGGCAGGGCAGGGCATGGCATGGCATGGCACGCCTTCATCCTCCACTCACCACAGCAATGCGCAGGTCGAGCCGATGCTGCAGGAGTGGATGCAGCGTGTGCGTTCCCTCCAGCACTAGCTGATGGCAGCGCAACAGGGCGTGGCATAGTGTGGAGTTGCAGGGCGTGGGATGGGATGGAGTGAAGGGAAGGAAGGGAGGGCCGGCAGGATCCGGTGAGAGTAATTCAGATAGGCCTTGCTGCACCTATTGCAGGAGTGTGTGTGTGAATACGGGAACCAACGGTTAATAGAGAAAGATAGGCGGCCACATGATTGTGGAATTTATTATTCGACCGGAAGAAATACTATGAGTAATCTCAACACACGGTCAACATGTAGGACAGACAGTCCAAGATACTACTTTTGAGGCGCCTAAAAAAGGCGCCTCATAAATCATGTAGGACGGCCCAAGGTACTCACCACTCCACTGCTGGCGCCGGCGCCGCCGTCCCTTGCTCCTGCTGCCGCATCCCACGATGCCTCAACTCCTGCTGCCGCTGCTGCTGCAGATGATTCAGCTGCTGCTGAAACATCAACTCCACGCCCAAGCACTTGCCCATCCCCATGCATGTGCACAGGGCGGTACCCCACCCTCCTCATCGTGCCAAAGTCAAACACCGGAGTAACCGCATTCCGACCCTCCCGCACGTCCTGCAGCGTGCGGCGCAGCAGCGGCCAATCCACGACCGCCACGTCATCGTAGTTGGTGCCGTCAGCTGTATTGTTGAAGAATGAGTCGAGGGAGAGGAGGTCGCAGGAGAGCAGGCGCGCGAGGTTGGAGGCCAGACTAGTCTTGCCTGAGCCACTGGGGCCTCCTGTGAGAGTGGAAGAAACGGGATGGAAAGGGATGTAAAGGAACGGAAGGAGTCGAGGGAGAGGAGGCCGCAGGAGAGCAGGCGGGCGAGATTGCACGCCAGGCTTGACTTGCCTGAACTGCTGGGTCCTCCTGGTGGAAGGGAAAGGACGGAAGGGGAAACAAAAGAGGGAAGAAAAGGACTCTGGCAAGGGAAGGTCACGGGAGAGCGAGCGAGGATGCAGGCTAGACTGCTGTTGCCTGGGCCACTGGGTCAGCCTGGCGACAAAGAAGGGAAGGAAAAGACGGTAGGGGAGAAGTAAATAGGGGGAAAGAGTTGGTGGGGGAAGAGGGAGGTCGCAGAAGAGTAGAGGTCAAGGGAGAGGGAAGGGGAGCCGAGCCGGACTGGTCTCGCCAGAGCTGCTGGGTCAGCATGGCTCTGGCAAGACCAGCACGGCTCGGCTCCCCCTAACCAACCGAACTATACGTATGTCAACTTTGAGAATTCTCGAAAGGAAACTACAAGGAGGACAATACAAGGAAGAGAAAAAATTGGATGGGGCAAGTTCGGGGCGCGGAGGAGAAAGGAGCAGAGAGAATGTGGAGAACCAAGAGCAGAACATGATTTCTGGCGCATGAATCCCACACAACTGGACTTTTCAAGTGGAGAAACAGGAGTGTAAGGAAAAACGTTAATGATGCAGGCGGGCTCGCCACTCACTTATGCGGGACGGCGGAAACTCACCAATGCCCACTATGACTGGAGGACCGTTGCTGCGAAGGAGTTTCTGCACAGGAGAAAAAAGGGTGGCAGACAAAGTTGGGTCAGGGAGGGGAGTGATGCACAAGAGAAGAGGGTGAGGAGAATGAATGGGTATCGAGTTATGAGAAAACACCCTAGTTCTCAAAACTCGAGAGACAGAGATAGGTGAGAGAGAGGAGTTCTCGAAGAGTCGAGAAAGAGGAGGGAAGTGTGAGATGGAAGAGAAACGAAAGCGATAAATCAATCACTCACACTTCCAAGACTCTTGGGATTGAAGAAGCCCCCAATCTGCGCAACTTCTTCACTGCTTCGCGTTTACCTGGATCCGATAAACGCTACCTGCACTTGTGAATTTGAGGTGCCCCTGAACTCGCCATCTCATGTATGAACCCCTGTGTGTTCCAGATGCCTTGCCTGTCAGCATTCCCATGTTCGCGCGGCAGCACTCCAATGCTCAAGAATAACAAAAACCAGGCATCGGGACAGCTCACCTGCACGGCCATCACAGCGAGACTGAGCCCTCGGTCGAAGCTGAACTGCTCTCTTTTCGGAATGAGGTCAAACCGCGCCCTCTGTGACGCCTATGACGATGCTGCCGCTCCTGCTGCTCCTGACTAAACCAAAGATGGGAACAACTCACCTGCACGGCCATCACAGCAAGGCTAAGCCCTCTGTCAAAGTTGAACTGCTCTCGCTTCGGAATGAGGTCAAACCGCGCCCTCTGTACTGCCGATGCCTGCCCTCCCATTTCCCCCTCCACATCTCCCCTCCGCTCTGATGCACCTCCGCTCTCTTCCTGGCCTGGTCCCTCCCTTTCTCCGCCCCGCCTCGCAGCCCCTTCCTCCGCCATCCCGCCTCCCTGCTGCGCTCCCTGCACCACCCTCTGCTGCTCACCCATACGCTGCCGGTCACCAAGCTCTTGACTGCCCGATCCTAGCTGGATTCTCTGCTGCTGCCTTGGATGCTGCTGCTGCACGTCGCTACCAGCAGCAGCAGCGGCAGCCAGAGTCTCTCCCGTGGACGCTGCAAGGGTGGAGGCAGTGCCATATACACCCTCGCCACCCGCTGCTCCCATCCCCTCTTCCGCAGCAGCAGCAGCACCATCGGTGCCGGTCCTGCTGCTGCTGCTGCTGGAGCTGACGATGGTAGTGCTAGTTACAGCACCAGTGGTGGTGTTCCCTGCAGTAGCAGCGGTGGTACTGAGAGGGGGTTCCGCCTCAGCCTCACCGCCAGACATGGCTTGCTGGATGATCTGAGTGTGCATGAGGCCTACAGAGTCCGCCAGGCCTGTGAGGCCCCACGATGCCGGGGCAGCCATGGCTGCTGCTTCACTCGCTCTGGTAGGAGACCGCGTCCACGGCTCCTGCTCCTCCACACCGCTCTCCACACCTCTCTCCTCCACCCGTCTCTCCCCCGGCCTGCTCTCACCCCCCCCGGCAGCTCCACCTCCCCCAGATGAGCCTGGAGAGCCGACGTTGATGGCTCGTGGGCGCACAGGGAGAGGCGCAGAGGCAGCAGAGAGGGCTGAGGCGATGCGTGCAGGGAGAGGGGACTGGGAGGGAGGTGGTGAGATGGTGGAGGGGAAACGGGACTGGGGTGGAGGTGGTGATGCGGTGGAGGGGAGTTGGGATTGGTATGGAGGTGAAGGAATGTCAGAGTGGGATAGAGGAGGGGATTGAGAAGGAAAAGGAGGAGGGGGTGGTTGAAATTGGGAGGGTTCGGGTGTGGTGGAGAGGGGTGGGTGGGAGGAGGGGATGGAGAGGAAGGAAGAGGAGGAGGGAGAGGAGGTGAGGGATTCGAGCTGTTCTGATTCGAAGCGCACCCAGGATGAGGAGAGGGGTGGGGTGGGCAGACGAGGGGCACCTGTGGGGACAAAGGGGAAGCATGTGACAGCGGGAGAATATGGGGGAAAGGGGTTTGTAATGAGGACTGTCGTTGTCGGGAATTAACGCGAACCCAGGAGGAGGAGAGGGGCGGCGTGGGCAGATGGGTGGCGCAGCAGGAGGGGACGGGGACGAGAGCAGGGTTCCCTGGGTGGAATAATGGGCTGGCGAAGTGTTTGATTCAATCGTTTGCAAGCACGCAAAGCAACACTGGCATTGGCAAGTCAAGGCACACATATAGAACATATCATCCAACCAATTGGCAAGCCAATGCATACCAGCATGGCGCATGACAATGTCGACATAAGCGTCCGTGACCCATGGCCCCTCCAATCTCAGAGCCATTGTAGTTTGTGTCGACTCAAAACACGGCCATGCATGTCAAGTGGGACGCCAATGCATGCATACCAACATGGCGCATGACGATGTCGACATAAGCGTCCGTGACCCACGGTCCCTTCTACCCTCTTCCCACGTCTTCCCCCCCATTTCCCCGCTTCCCCTCCCGAAGGGTGGTAGGGCAATGCATGCATACCAACATGGCGCATGACGATGTCGACATAAGCGTCCGTGACCCACGGTCCCTCCAATCTCAGAGCTGCTGTGTTTTGAGTTGACTCACCATACGACCATGCATGTCAAGTGGGACGCCAATGCATACCAGCATGGCGCATGACGATGTCGACATAAGCGTCCGTGACCCACGGTCCCTTCTACCCTCTTCCCACGTCTTCCCCCCCATTTCCCCGCTTCCCCTCCCGAAGGGTGGTAGGGCAATGCATGCATACCAACATGGCGCATAACGATGTCGACATAAGCGTCCGTGACCCACGGTCCCTCCAATCTCAGAGCCGCTGCTGCTGTCAGCACCGTCTGTTGCATGATGAAAGGATAAGCGGCACGAACGGACCACGGGGAATGAGTAAGAAAAGAGAGGCATGGGGCATGGCGATGGCAGTAGGATGAGGATCACAGGGCGAAGGTGGATGGGTGTATGGAAGGGTGGGAGGATGGTTCTTACGAATCCTCAGTAACCAACTATTCTCAGATGGGTGGACGGGTAGAGGAATGGGTGGTGGACGGATGGATGGGTGGGTGGATGGGTGGGTGGATGGGTGGGTGGTGGGTGGATGGGTGGGTGGATGGACAAAAGGACAAGGACCTTTCCCCAACACACCTGTCTGTCTGGTCCCTTTATCTGAGTGTATGTGCGGCTGTGCCCAGGTGAATGGTATCAATGCACACTGAGAGGTCGCCGTTAGAGAGAACCACGGAGCGTCATGGATGGGTCGACTTGATTCACCTCGCATATGTGTGTGCACGCACCTGCCTATCCGGCCCCTTAATCTGAGTGTATGTGCGGCTGTGCCCCTCCCCCAGGTGAATGGTGTCAATGCACACTGAGAGGTCTCCTTTGGAGAGCACCAGGGAGCGTCATGGATGGGTCAGCTTGATTTACCTCGCATATGTGTGTGCACGCACCTGCCTGTCTGGCCCCTTGATCTGCGTGTATGTGCGGCTGTGCCCGTCGCCCAGGTGAATGGTGTCGATGCACACTGAGAGGTCGCCGTTAGAGAGAGCCACAGAGTCCCAAGCATTGATGCATAGGCTAGGCTCACCTGTCTGTCTGGTCCCTTGATTTGAGTGTATGTGCGGCTGTGCCCCTCCCCCAGGTGTATGGTGTCGATGCACACTGAGAGATCGCCGTCCAAGAGCACCAGGGAGTCACAAGGAGGAATGGATTATGGTCTCACCTTTTTGGTTCCTCTCTCCTGTCCATTAGGCTCAGAGCACCCAAGCATGTGGGTACACTCACGCACCTGCCTGTCCGGCCCCTTGATTTGAGTGAACGTGCGGCTGTGCCCGTCCCCCAAGTGAATGGTGTCAATGCACACTGAGAGATCGCCGTTGGAGAGCACCACAGAGTCCCGTGAGAAGCTGACTGCCACCGCGTAGGAGCACTGGATGAGACCGGGCAGGGTGGTGGACGGTACCTGGAGAATGACAAGGGACAGAGACAGCAGAGAGGGGAAATGGGGACTTGAAACGAAAGGAGAGCACCACAGAGTCTCGAGAGAAGCTGACTGCAACGGCGTAGAGACTCTGCTGGTGCTGACTGCACTGGATGAGACCTGGGAGGGTGATGGACGGTTCCTGGGGCGGTTTTGGGAGGAGGAAGAAAAGAGAGAGGCGGAAAGGAAAAGAGAGGTGGAGGAGGGCTAGAGAGCACCGCAAAGTCGCTTGAGATTCTCACCGCCACCGCATAGGACCACTGAATCAGACTGGCCGGATCGCTTGAGAGTTTTAAAGCCCACCTCAAACTGAGCACGGGGCCGGATGATGAAGCTCCTGTCGACCACACGCTGGTCGCCCACGGAGAGGAAGTAGCGGATGCCGCACTGCCGCACTGCCCCCCACAGAGAGGAAGCACTCGGACCCACCTCATACTCTGCTGCAAGAAGCCCACCTGAAAAGTCTGAAGAGTCTCTTAAAGCTCACTCACCTCAAACTCAGCACGGGGCCGGATAATGAAGCTCCGATCGACCACTCTCTGGTCTCCCACCGATAAGAAGTAGCGAATGCCACACTGCCGCACTCGAATCCACTCCTTGGTGCGCGTGGGGTTGTGGGGTGGAGAGAGGTAGACGTCCACGTATCTGCAGGGGGGGGAGGGGGACATGTTGTCGGGTAAGGTGGGAAGGTGAGGCATAGAAATGCCGCACTGCCGCACTCGAATCCACTCCTTGGTGCGCGTGGGGTTGTGGGGTGGAGAGAGGTAGACGTCCACGTATCTGCAGGGGGGGGGAGGGGGACATGTTGTCGGGTAAGGTGGGAAGGTGAGGCATAGAAATGCCGCACTGCCGCACTCGAATCCACTCCTTGGTGCGCGTGGGGTTGTGGGGTGGAGAGAGGTAGACGTCCACGTATCTGCAGGGGGGGGAGGGGGACATGTTGTCGGGTAAGGTGGGAAGGTGAGGCATAGAAATGCCGCACTGCCGCACTCGAATCCACTCCTTGGTGCGCGTGGGGTTGTGGGGTGGGGAGAGATACACGTCCACGTAGCTGCAGGGGAGACGGGCGGGGGGGTTGAGGGGGAAGGAGGAGGGGTGAGGCATGGGAATGCCACACTGCCTCACTGGAAGCCACTCCCTCGTGCGAGGGGTTGTGCGGTGGGGAGAGATACACGTCCACGTAGCTGGAGGAGGGGTGGGCGAGACAGGTTGGGGGGGAAGCAAGCGGAGGGGGGTGAGGCCCAGGGATGCGGCGGGAAGTTGCAAATGCTGCACTGCCTCACCCAAATCTACTCCTTGGTGCGCATGGGGTTGTGGGGCGGTGAGAGATACACGTCCACGTAGCTTAAGAAGGGGTGGAGGGGTGTTTTGAGACGTGGGGACATACATGCGTGGGGGTTATAGCAAGTGTGTGTCTTCATCAGAAGAGGTGACAGATACTCGTCTCGTGTGGTGAAAGTGTTGATTTTTGGTACTCGCTGTGTGTGATGCCGTGTCTCAAGTGGGGTTTCTTAACCAAGGTATTGACTACTGAGTCGCCTTGCCAGCTCACCGGTACTCGTTGCGTGTGGTACGGGTTGATCCCAGCACCTGTTTCACTCTGTCCTCTGCCACCTGGCATGCAAGCATGATGACACGTCAGCATATGCAAGGGTATAGTGTGGAGAGGGGAACGGGTGGGAAGAATATGGGAGGGTTGAACACAGGTTGTGGTGGAAAAGCGTAGAGTGATACAACATTTCGTGAGCACCTGAAGTGAACAAAACAGCTACCAGATCAGTCATATTGACCAGACATGATTTATAAACACGTGGAATGAACAAGTGGAGCAAATTGAGACTCACAGTGTGGTCAGACTTGAGAATGTAGAAGGGATGGCGGAGGGAGTCGGCCACAAAGCGACTTTTGAGTCGACTCAGAAGTCACGGAGAGTAAAAGGCGAGCAGAAGGACGGTGGGCCTCACCGTTTGGTCGGACTTGAGGATGTAGAAGGGGTGGCGGAGGGAGTCGGCCACAAAGCTGTTGCTGATGCGGATCTGAAAGGGAGAGCAGCGTGTGGGGAGGGGGAGAGAAGGAGGAATGGCGGGGATGGAGGGGGCTGCTGAGCTGGCTGGCTGGATGTGGAGCAGGAACGCTGGGGGAGACAGAGTGCATGGCAGGGCAGGGCATCAGTGACGAGTCGTGTTTTGAGTCGACTCAAAACACGACGCAGGGCACCAGTGACAGCTGGCTGGATGCTGGATGCCCAACGGCTCCCAAGGGCTTCATCCCATAAAGGTTCATTCCACAAGCTCTACCTCTGCATGCGCCAGTGTGGGCTCGATGTGGAGAGGGAATACCGGAAAGACAGAGAGCATAACAGACGCCAGTGACAGGTGGAGCCCCCCTAGAAGAGTCGCATCAGACGAGGAAAGCGAGCTGCATTCCGGCCCACCTCTGCATGTGCGAGCGTGGGCTCGATGTGGAGCGGGGAAAGATGGGAATGCCGAGTGCATGACGGAGACGAGTGACAGGTGGAGGCCCCCTCAAGTCATTCCAGATCAGGACAAAGCGCTGCATTCCGACTCACTTCAGTATGCGCGAGCGTCGGCTAGATGTGGAGCGGGAAGGCAGGGAACACCGAGTGCATGACATAGAAGAGTGACAGCTGGAGGCCGCTTAGTAATCCCAGGGGCTGACCCTACAAAAAGGGCCATAGCATATACCCTGTACCTCTGCATGTGCGAGTGTCGGCTCGATGTGGAGCGGGAACGCAGGGAACACCGAGTGCATGACAGAGGCGAGTGACAGCTGGAGGCCGCTCTGTGCCACGTCAGACTTGACCCGCTGCAGCAGCGTGTAGTGCACGCCCCCCACCACGGCAATCCCAAGGTCCAACAGCGGGCGCAGGCGCGAGTGCAGTGCGTACACGCCCTTGAGAAGAATCTGCGAGAACAGAAGGAGATTTGGGTTTGATTCGGTCTAGTGTAGTGCACGCCACCCACCATGGCAATCCCAAGGTCCAACAGCGGGCGGAGGCGCGAGTGCAGTGCGTACTCGCCTTTGAGAAGGATCTGGGAGGGAAAGGGAAACGCACGCCTGAATCAAGAAAGTGTGGAACGAAGGTGCATGTTGAGCTAACTACCACCAGCAATCACGTGAAAGGACTTCTGGTCAAAGGACTTCTGAAAGAATCTGGAAAGGAAGGAGGGGGGACACGAGAGTAGTGCACGTTTTTCGAAGAAGGAATGAAAGCGCAAAGAGAGGAAGGGAGTTATATTATCAAAGAAGGGAAGACTACTTCAAAGGAAAGGAAAGGGACTGGAGTGTGACTGAAGCACCCTTCTCTTCTCTTAAGTGTGACTGATGCAGTGCAGTGTCAAAGAAACATAATTTTGCCCTCGTTTTCTCCTTTTTGTAGCTCTGAACTGACTCACAACGCACCACAGCGGAAGGAGACGGCGTAATGAGGCGGAACCCCGAGCGGCGGCGGTCAACAGAGTCAAAGAGAGGCATCTCGATGGGCCGCCCAGCGAGGAGGTCCTGTGATGAGCGTTGTGGTGGGTGGGGGGGCACAGAACGGGAGGCGGACAAACAGTGGGTCAACCGAGTCAAAGAGAGGCATCTCGATGGGCCGCCCTGCAAGGAGGTCCTGTGTTGTGATGAGTGTTGTGAGGGCCGATAGAGAGGAAGATTGGGGAGTAACTATTCACTAGAACAGATCTGTGAGGTGATTAGACAAAACAGAATGTAACCAGACATTTGCATGGGATTTCCATCCATCCATCCGTGCATGCACGCATCCATGCATGCAAGCATCTATCCTGTGCATCACCTGTATGTGGTGGTGCAACAGCGACATGTCGAGTTCATCCACATCATGCATGTCACATGTTGCCCCCCCTGCATCCATCCATGCATCCAGCATGCATGCTGCACCTACCCCCAGTCCTGACTAACGCGCCTGCATGTGGCGGTGCAACAGCGCCATGTCAAGTGCGTCCACATCATGCATGTCGCCCGGCCCCCTCGCTGCATCCGCCTATCCCATGCATGCATGCACGCGCCTAACCATGTCGTTTACCTGCATGTGGCGGTGCAATAACTCCATGTCGAGGGCGTTCACAGCGTGCATGTCGCCCGGCCCCCTCGCTGCATCCATGTAATTCGCTTGCTCTATCACCGTTCCCTCCAGCATGCTCGCAATGCGATGGGCTAGACTGCAAGTGAGTCAGGAAAAAAAAGACATGGAAGAGGAGAATGGGTGAGGATGCATGCGTGTAGTTCACCTGCTCTATCACCGTACCCTCCAGCATGCTCGCGTTGCGATGCGCCAGACTGAAAGGGAGGAGAGTGGGAAACCACAGCAGTGAGGGAGATTGAGAATAGACAGAATCTAGCCCGGCAATGCTTACATCCATGACTATGACATGCCATGCCATGCCATGCCATGCCGTGTGATCACTCATTATACAAACATACTTCGATTTGTAATAGAATGTTTTTTTTAGGCGCATAAAGAATTACATGCCATGCCATGACATGCCATTTCGTGTGCACTCATCATACTGACATACCTCGACTTGCCAGACCCAGACGGTCCCCCAATCCCCAGCAGCAGCAACTGCTTTGTTTCAAGAATCTGCTTGCTATTCCCTTACGCCCCACGATAGGTGATAACTGTCATGCGCCATCCATGCCAAACCATGGCCTCACGCCATGGGAATCCATATCCATGCCACGTCATGCTAAACTATGCCGTACGACTCACGGCTCAACATACCTTGACTTGCCAGACCCAGACGGTCCCCCAATCCCCACCAGCAGTGGTCTCTTCACCCATGGCTGGAGTTCCCCTATGCCACAGCAAGCGACATGCCATCCCATGCCATGCTAACCATGCCATGCCATGCATTGGTCAGCATACCTTGACTTGCCAGACCCAGACGGTCCCCCAATCCCCACCAGCAGCGGCCGATCCCCCCCAGAACTCCGGTTTCGCTCCCTCAATTCTTGAATGGCACGCACTGCTATGAAATGGCCCGCGTCCAGGGTCTGGGAGGAGGGGGGTGGGGAGGGAGGAGTGGAAGATGAGTGAGAGAGTGTGGGGATCAAATATGCACCATCACATGCTGATCCCTCAACTTTTGAATGGCCCGCACTGCAATGAAATGTCCTGCGTCTAGGGACTGGGGATGAGGGGGGATTAGAAAGGGGGGAGGGGAGGGAATGTAGGGATAATTATCACGAGCAGCATCACTTCCTGATGCTTCTTCATCTCCTGAATGGCACGCATGGCAATGACGCGCCCCGTGTCTAGGGATTGGGCGGAGACGGGGAAGAGGACACGGAGAGGAAGGCGGCGGGGAAGGAAGGGGAAAGAATGTGAGAATAGATATGCAGCATCTAGTGCTGACGCTCCCTCTGTTCCTGAATAGCCCTTGAAGCTGAGGGAACGTCAGAAAGGAGTGCTGACGCTTCCTGTGCAGTGCCGCAAGCGAATAAGGACAGGGATGAGGGAGGGAAACGAAGGCAAGGGAGCGAGTGCAGAGGTAACTGTGGAGATAATATTGTTAGTACAGCTCAGGAGCTAAACATAGTTCAAAAATAGTTCAACCCAAGTTGCCTGTAGCCGTTTCTCAGAATCATATGTGAACGACATGCACCATGCCTTCTCCAACAAAAAACAATTGTCAGGAATGGGATTCGAACCCATGCCCTTTCGGACCAGTACCTGAAACTGGCGCCTTAGACCAACTCGGCCATCCTGACAGTCTCTTGAGGTAAAGCAGACTTTATCGAACAACTCATCCAATACATATCCGCACCACCAAGTGCGTGTGGCTCATTCCCCCTCCCCCTTCACCTGGCCGCTTTCCCCTCCCTCCCCACACAATCTTTTCGCATCCACACACACACACGCACATGCATAGCTATTTTTGAGTCAGACTCAAAAGCACACGCACACGCATAACTATGTCGACTCTTCGTATGTGATTCACACTCCCGTACCAATTCTGAAACGTCTCAAAACATTCCCCCACTCGCGTACCAGCTCCTTGGCGATTGGCACCAGCCTCCACGGGCCCGCTCCCCCGGCATCCCCCCGCGCATCCCCCCGCGCATCCCTGCGCTCGACCTGCAGCAGCCCCAGCAGTTGCCGGTGATCCAGCACGTCCGAGTCGCCATCGCCGCCACTAACGGACACACTTATCGACGGCGATGATCCCGAGGCTCGGCCCGCGCCGCCATGGATGGACGACGGGGGAAACATCGCGGTGTAGCACAGAAGGCCTCTACGTCATGCCGTGGAAAGAGGCTTGCTAAACGACTCCTGAGGCACCTCAAAATTCGCCTCTATGTTATGCTCAGACAATAGAAACTGCTTCTTAACCGCGGCACGTGATATGAACAAGCTGATCCGCCGGCGAATTCTGTGGTAACCTGGCTCGTCTGCCGAGCCCTGAGACCTATCGCTAGAGGACTAACCCCTCCTACGGAGCTGGTTATCGGCTCCCGAATAACGGCATGGCAAAATAAAGCTGAAAAGTAGGAAGTGCTGATGACCTGCTGTTTGCTGCTCGGAGCCTGAACCACTCTGGTGTCCCAACAAAACGCTTTGGAGCATAACGAGACCCACCTAAACCGTACCAGTGTGAATTCGGGTGAGGGATGACGGACGGGGATGTGCTGAAAGGCGGGAAGCGGAGGCCTGGAAAACTCACCTGATTCGGAAAGGGTAAAGATTTGCATGATTGGCCTAGAAGACGAAGCGGTGGGGTCAAAGTGGTCCCTTCGAGGAAGAACCACGAATTGGATTCCTCGATGTCGTGCTGACGTGGAGAAAGTTGATTGCCTATTGCGGCACGTGAGCTGTGACAGAGGACTCTGATGTGTCGCTAGCGTCAGCCGACAGATTGCTGAGTTCAGAAATGGACAGTGACTGTCCGCTCTATTAGCTTCTTGCGGAGTGAGGGAAATGAGTGAAATCCATCTAAACGCAACACACAACAGACCTAAGGAGCAAACCATGTAGTTAGAAAGCTCCTAACTTAAGTGGAGCTAACTCAGCTATCGAAGTGAGGATAACTGATCTAGCCGTATATTCTGCCAATAATGCGGCCTGTGAGATTGTAGAGGAAGAAGCACGGAGCCGCTGCATCCAAGATGGACAATTCGGGGTCGAGCGTTTGGCCGAACCCCACTAGAATACACATGGCGATAAGGAGCGAGGCGTATGAGGAATGTACCGTGACATGGTGCACCCAGCATATGCGGAGAACCTGCAAGGAAAAGGGAGAATAACAGTTTATTAAACAGACAAAAAAGAAAAACTATATTTGCAACACCAAAACGTGAAGCATTGAGTGAATCACCAACAATCAACACGTAATCTCACACCTTTTTAAGCACATCATTAAGGTCCATGCATTGGTGGTGTAGCTGGCAGTCTCTGGCAAACAGCTCGCGCATGTCAGCTTCTAGCGCATCGCGATTGGTGCAGCGCTGTGGGAATGGTGCCGCGAAGCGAAGCAAGAAGTGTGTCTGCTTATAGAGGGGTGGGCATGGTGGGATGGTGGAAACACACATGGTACGACTGGGGAATGTGAAGAGATAGGGAAACGAAATAAGGGGATTGGGACAAGAGACCATAGAGTGGGAAAAGGAGGGGCAAATTGGCGGTGGAGAGAAGGAGAGAGGGTGGGGAAAGGAAGCGCGAGAGAGAGCGAGGGAAGAAAGTCGAGGACTTACAGCTTGTTTTGGCGATGGGGACATGATGGAAGACAATGAAGCTTGAGAAAGAAGGAACAATTGAAACAGGAAGTGCAAGAAACAATTGTTGGTGGGGAGAGAAAGCGAGAGCGCACTGACCGTTTGTTTGGCGTTGGAGGACATGAGGGAGGCGATGAAGCAGAGGAAGTAGGAACAGTGTGGGCGTGGGACAGTGGAAACAGGACATGCAAGTAACATTGCTGCCAGGGCGACACCGTACGGCTTGCTGGGCGTTGGAGGACATGAGGGAGGCGATGAAGCAGAGGAAGTTCGTGCGCACGTGGGCTGAGGTCCTCCATCAGCCCATAGCCCAGAATCACCAGCTGTAGCGCCCCCTGCTGCGCCTGCGCCTCCTGCTTAAGCCCACCCGGCTGTAGTGCGCCCGGCTGTAGCCCACCCTCCCCTATGGTGGGTGGTGCAGGTGCGGGTGCTGCCATGCGAGCCAGGATGTTCCCAGGGTGCAGGTCCAGGTGGATGTGGTTGTCCTGTAGCAGCATCTTGAGGTAGGCATCCACGCCCACTGCTGCTATCTGCCATGTGGAGACAACACAGAGAGGATAGGGATAGGAAAATCAGTGGCAGCAGGCTGAGAGGGGTCCAGGTGGATATGGTTGTCCTGTAGCAGCATCTTCAGGTAGGCGTCCACTCCCACTGCTGCTATCTGCAAGTGTGGAGAACAGAGAGAGAGCAGGGGGTAGCCAAGTCAGAGAGAGTAGGCTGAGAGGGGTGCAGGTCCAGGTGGATGTGGTTGTCCTGTAGCAGCATCTTCAGATACGCGTCGGCCCCCTCAGCTGCTATCCGAAAGATGGGGCGGGGGGAAGGAGGGGGAGAAACAGGGGTTGAGAGGATAGGTGGATGCGGTTGTCACCTAGCCCGGTGCAGAATCCGTTGCATCTTCCTCTGCGCAGCCCACGTGTGCATGCGCCACTAGTCGTGCGTGGCTGCATGCATCACAGCTGGCTCTTAGACGCCCACCTGTGTGTGTGTTGAGCGAGCTATGCTCCTTGCAGTGCAGGAACCGGTGCAGAGGCTCCCCCGTGCATCATCCACCAGTGCACAGCTGTGCGAATCATCCCCTGTGCATCCACCATCTGTAATGCCCACCCAACACTCACACCCACCCACCCACCTGTGTGTTGAGCGAGCTGTGGTTCTTGGAGTGCAGAATCACAAGTCGTTTGACTGCTACCCACCCACCTGTGTGTTGAGCGAGCTGTGCTCCTTGGAGTGAAGGAACCGGTGCAGCGGCTCCCCGCGCTCAAAGCTCTCCACAATGACCCCCTCCGACACCAGGTGAGGCAGCACAGCTACAGGCATCACATCTGCTACCCACCCACCTGTGTGTTGAGCGAGTTGTTCTCCTTTGTGTGCAGGAACCGGTGCAGCGGCTCCCCGCGCTCAAAGCTCTCCACGATGACCCCCTCCGACACCAGGTGAGGCAGCACCTGTGCGATCACCACCCTCTCCCTCACGGGATAGAAGTCATTGTACAGGCGGCTGGCATGGTATGCTTCTACCCTTAGGTCAGCCTGGCAGGCAGGGGAATGGTTGATAAGGAGGGAAAGGAAGAGAAGTCAGCAGCAGCTCTCCATGATGACCCCCTCTGACACCAGGTGCGGCAGCAACTACTGGTTTGGAAGGGTGTGGCGGCACGTGAACGATCACCACCCTCTCCCTCACGGGATAGAAATTGGAGTACAGGCGGCGGGCACGCCTACACCCTCAGATCAGCCTGGTGAATGGTATATGGATGGAGGAAGAGAGGTGAGAAGCCTGATGGTGACCCCCTCCGACACCAGGTGAAGCAGCACCTGAGCGATCACCACCCTCTCCCTCACGGGATAGAAGTCGTTGTACAGGCGGAGCGCGTGGTATGCCTCCACCCTTAGGTCAGCCTGGGAGGAGAGTGAACGGTTGATAAGGAGAGAAGGAAAGGAAGGGAGCTTAGCAGGTCTCCCCCTCTGACGCCAGGTGAAGCAGCACCTGAGCGATCACCACCCTCTCCCTCACGGGATAGAAGTCGGAGTACAGCCGGTGCGCGTGGTATGCTTCCACACGCAGGTCAACCTGGGAGGTTGATGGGGTCAAAGGGGGAGCGGGGGAGCTTCCTATGAATCGTATTGCAACTGCTGAACACTTCCTTCTATTCCAATTCACCTTTCATCGCATGCTCACCTGCTCCCTCATTGTGTGACTGAATTGCTCCAGGCTATCCTGCAGCCGGATCCACTTGAGCCCCGGCAGGCACTCACTCTCAAGCCCACTTCCCCCTGCTCCTGGTCTTTCCTTGCATCCCCTTGATGATTCCATGCTCACCTGTTCTCTCGTAGTGTGGCTGAACTGCTCCAGGCTATCCTGCAGCCGTCCACTTAAGCCCCGGCACACGATCCACCACCGCAGCCACCCCATGCCTCTTCTCTCTCATTGTGTGGCTATCCTGCACCTTGGTTCTCACCTGCTCTCGCATCGTGTGACTGAATTGCTCGAGGCTATCCTGCAGCCGAATCCACTTGAGCCCCACTCGATCCACCACCGCAGCCACCCCCGCCATCACCTCAAAATCCTGCTTGATCCTCAACCCCACGCGCGGATGCCTCACTTTCACCACCACCCACTCGGGCACGTGCGCACACGCGCCCCTCACTCTCGCCCTGTGCACCTGCGCTATGCTCCCCGACGCCAGCGCCTCCCTCTCAAACTCCACAAACAGATCCTCCAACGGGCACCCGAGGTATTTCCGCACGGCGCGGCGCGTGTGGGAGAAGGAGTGTGTGGGAGCCTGGTCTTGGAGGGACCCGAGGACGAGGCAGAGGGAGGGGGGGAGCAGGTCCTCTCTGGTGGACGCCCACTGGCCCCATTTGATGAACGCTGCTCCCCCGCGGCGCAGGGCGAAGAGTAGAAGCTGGTGGATGGCGTCCCGGCACCACTGCTTCATGGAAGGTTCCTTTTGGGAAGCTTCCTGTGCAGCTGCTTGCTCCGACGGAGATTTGTTTGAGGAACCTTCCGTGGATTGATTCTGCCGAGCGGCCACCACCCCCTTGCTCTCCCCTGTCTCTTCTCCTGCTTCCTTTTTCCCCTCGCCTGCCTGTGCGTCTGGCAGTAGGCGGTGCAGCAGCAGCAGGAGGGGGCCGAGGAGGAGGAGGGGGGAGAAGATGAGAGCGAGAAAGACAGCCCGAAGGAAGAGAGAAAAGGCCTGTTGCCAGCGAGACAGCGGCCAATCAGAGCGTGCCATGTGCCCCTGATGGGGTTGTGAGAGGTTGACGTTGCTGCTAAGGGGGGGTATGTGAGTGGCTGCTTCAATAGTCACATCCGGTAAGGGCACAGGGTCTGGCAAGCCTTGGCATTGGTGGCACTGTCTTGCTAAGGTAATTGTGCTGTTGCTCGTGTTGTTACCGCTGCTTGTTTATGCAGCGCCCCAAAAATGAAGAAAATAAACTGCTTCTCTTCTTGCTGCCGCTGCTACTACTGCTGCTGCTGCTGCTGCTATTGCTGCGAGTGCTACTAGTCCCGCTGCTGCTCATGTTGTAGCTTCTCAAGGGGCTGCTGCTGGTGGTGGGGCTGCTACTGGCGCTGCTGGTGTCTGAACCAGTCCAGGAGCTTCCGTCATTGATGATCAGGTCAGTGCTGCTATCTAAACTGCTGCTCCTGCTGCTAATTCTGCTGCTGTTGCCGCTGCTCATGCCCCTCCCTTTCTCCACTCTCTCCTCCCCAATCGCCTTCTCTCCCCGCCCGACTACCTGCCCCACTTCCCCTTTCTCCGTTCCCTTTTGTTGTGGTGTACGAGAAGGGAAGGGCGAGGAGAGGGGAAAGGAGAGCGTGACTAGACTGTGAGTGGAAGGCCAGGGGTGGGGTGATGGGAGGAATTGGGAAGGGAAAGGGAAGGATGGTCCTGCTGCTGCTGACACCAGTGATGGAGGGAGGATTGGAGTTGGCATGATGTACGGGGCGGTGCTATTTGTCCTGTAGTGCAGCAGAGTGGCAGCCTCTGTCAGGTCCAAGACGCCACCAGCCTGTGGGATGCTGCCACATGGCGGAAGGAGAGATGAGGGATGCGAGTGGGATGGGAGAAGGATGAGAGGTTGAAGCGAGAGATGAAGGACGGAGATGCTGCGGGACAAGAGAATAAAATAAATCAGCCATTCACAAGCCATACGGATAGGTCCGACTCGAGATATTGTCAGACATGGTCAGGTAATTCACATGAAGCATGATACATCCACGCCACCCATTTCCTCTACCCACATACGGGGGATAAACCATCGATGGAGCTCTAGGCTACTCACTCATGATACGTCTTGATCAACTTGGCCACTTCCATCCATGCTCTCCTATGCGCTCTCCTCCACGCCTCCCAGCTCCTACCAACACTCCCAAGTCTTGATCCCACCCACCCCAACCATCCCATCACCCAAACTCTCACAACAGCCCATCGCAACCCACTCACTCGTGGTATGTCTTGATCAGCTTCGCCACTCGGCTTGCTGCTCTCCTGTGCGCCCTCCTCCACACCTCCTTCCCTTCCCTCCCACCAATCTCAAAGTTGGCATACAGCAGCCCATCACAACCCACTCACTCGTGGTATGTCTTGATCAGCTTCGCCACTCGGCTTGCTGCTCTCCTATGCGCCCTCCTCCACGCCGCCTCTCCATCCCTCCCACACGCCCCTGCTGGGCCCTTCCCCATGCGCACCCGCACTCGCTCATACTCCACGGCTATTGGCAGGGACACGCCCAGGCAGACCAAGGTGTGCTGTAGTGGAAAGGGAGGGGAGGGGATGGATGCGGAGCAAGGGAAGGGAGTATGAGTTGCAACTCCAAGCACACTCGCACCCGCACTCGCTCATACTCCACAGCTATTAGGAAAGACGCGCCCAGACAGACCAGCATGTGCTGTAGGAAAAGGAAGGAAGAGGGAGCATTGGTCCACACCACAACCACAAATTCAACTCACGTGTAACCTTGGCACAATTTTCTTTGAAACTGCAACACCCCTTGCTGTTACCACCTCCTTTTACTGAGGCATCCCAAAACGCGTCCAACTCACATGTAATCTTGGCGCCATCCTCTTGAGTATAGCACCGCCCACTGCCACCGCCACTGCTGCCCTCCCAAACACGCCTCCGCCTCCCGCGCCTCCCCCCGTCGTCCCCCAACCTTCCCCCTCCGCCTGCCCTGGCGCATGCAGGCGCAGGTTCCTTCCCCAACCATGCTCCACGTCAGCATCAGCAGCCACGTCATTAATGGCATCATCACAATCATCACCAATATAATTAGAATCATTATCATTAGTATAATCATCATTGTCATAATCAAGATACGCATTCTCCTCCCCAACAATGTCCGATTCGCCCTCATTCCAAAAGTCATCCCCCCCATCCTCCTCCCCGCCCATCACGTTCCCACCATCATCCCCATCAGCATCCCCTATCCCCCCCCCTGTGCTGCTGGCCAGGCGCGGGCGCAAGCGGGGGCGGAGTGAGAGGAGGCGGGAGAGGGGGGCGAGGGCGCGGGAGAAGGGGGAGAGGAGGCGGGCGAGAGGAGAGAGGAGGGGCGAGGAGAAGAGAAGGTGGAGAACGGCTATAGTGGGAGTTGCGACAGAGAAGGACGCTGGGAAGAGGGCCTGCTTGGGAAGGGGTTGGGGAGAGGGGAGAGAGGGGTGGGAGGGGAGGGGGGAAATGGGCAGGAGGAATGGGGGAGAGCAAATGTAAGAACGGGAGGGGTTTGGGGAAGGCAGGGAGGGGATGAGGGTCGTGAGGTAGTGAGAGTGCGTCGGTGACAATTCAATCCAAACAAAAGCATGAACAGGTGGCATTGAACACGTGGCAGGAGTAAAGTCTGCCTGTGTTAGAAGAGTTGCACACATGGCACGTGTAGAGAATAGTCAATTCTCAGTTAAGCATTCTTTACATACCTGGCAAACGAGAAGCAGCGCCACAGCGTTTCCCGTCTGCAACAGCTTTGCAACGGCTGATGGTGCCACTGGTGCTGTTGTTGAAGACGTTAATAACGAGGATGATATTAACGAGGACGATTCTGTTGCTGGTAACGAGTATGGCGATGACGGGGATTGCGATGGCAGTTTTGTGGACCTTCTTTGTCTACGGTGCGCATGATCGTGCAAGGATGACCGTCCGATTCCAGTAGCACATCCCACCGCCACTTGCACCACGTGCAGAGTCTGCTGCCAAGAGATGCCGCCCAGTCCACCTGGACCCATCCCCAGCCGAAACGGCAGCCACACGTGCGCCTTCCCATCCCCCCTTGTCGCGGGGGAAGCGCACGGCGTGGGGTAGAGACGGGTGCGGGGTGGGGGAATGCGCGCGGCTCTTGACGTAACCCGGCTGTGGGTGGCGGAAAGCGGGGGACCTGCGACTGGGCGCAGGCGTGCGGACCAGTCGGGGGAAAGAGATGCCTGTATGGCGGGGGGTTGGGAGAGGGGAAAAGAGGAGGGGACACAGTCGCAACATGTCGCATATTAAGCCCCGTCGCAGAGTGGCCCAGTCGCACGTCGTCGCAATTTACGACGTGCGACCAGTCCCACAACCACCAGAGTGCGAACCACCGAGAGACTTGCACTGGAACACACCTTGGAGTCTCTTTCCTGAGAGAACGACATGGCGCCTGCTAATAACGCGTACGTCCGTCGTCGAATTCGCCGAGCCCTCGGAAAGCTTGAGCTGGTCAGGAAGTAACGACTCAGACCATAGCTCCGCTTCGCCTCGCGCCGCTTCTCGCTTACCCGCACTAAGGCGTAGTGGAGGCGAATAAAAACAGTGATCAGACGCCTATAGAAAATTTAGCGGAATCGACGGACTGCGAGCGATCCAGTTATCACCTCCGCTCGCCAGTCGTAACATTCCGTACGTCCACATTACCAAGGCGTTTCACTAATCCAACGGCCATCGCTACTTTCTGTGGCGCTGCAAGGCCCAACCTCGCACACTACCCTCTCACAAACAGTACTTGCAGACCACTCTCCTAACTGCACGAGTAGCAGCGTAATATACAGGAGTCGCATATGCAGTACCAGCTGCCTCTCAAGACATTACACGTTCACACTCATCAATCTTGTGCCAAACGATGATGATCCACTCCAGCCAACTTTGCGGAGGAGATACCAGCAAGGAGGTGTTACAAGAACCAACGGTCAGATTTTCAGGAAATCCCAGAATGCCCTGACCTGAAGTGTGTGGTGTCGGTTCTCCGCCCAGCCTTGGGGAATTCTAGGCGCTAGTCGGAGTTCCCGAGGTCCGTGAATTCCAATCACTCACTTGTCCGAAGGCCAGAGATGCTCCACTTGTCACGCCCTCGAAACATGAACAAAGCCAGAAGTGAAAGCACTACATAGTCGAAGATAGTTTAAACACAAGTACATATGTAAAGTGTTTGAGAAAAGGATGCGTCTTACCTCATCACACTGCTATAGATGTACACAACTGTACACCTCTGGCGTGTCACACCCCATCCACATATAGCATCATGCAGGCTGTAAGGAAAATCCCCTTTCCTTACTTCGCGCCCCTGCTTACCGCGTACATGACCACTCCCGCCATCGCCATACAGTGAAAACGTTACCCGCTCACCTCGGCCACGACTCCCGCCACTGTTCGCGATGCGACCCAACCTAACGGATCGGTTGGTAACCCGCGCTCCGGACCTCCGCCTCGACAATTCCCAAACCTCGGCGCTAGGCCCGTAGCGCACCCCAATTTCCCGCATTACCGTTACCACGCTAGCTTCGCTATATAACTTCGCTCATGCTTTTCGCTCAATTGTATTGTTTGCTTCGATAGTGCAATTCTCGCTCGCTCACTCAATTGCACTCGTAACACTTGGTATTCAGAGCCTACGATCTCTTCTCGGACCGCACCCACACCTTCGCTTCTCCACTATCTCACTTTTGGGGGGGGTAGACGTCTCTCAGCGAAACAAGTACCGCTGCTCGTAGTGCTCTCTCGTAAGCACGCACGGCCACGACGGAGGCTCTCGCTGAGCTTGCCCAACACCCCCGCCATGGCCGAATTCAACATCGCGACACTGACGCAGGAGCAACTCGACCGTCTCGTGCGCCAACTCGAAGACTAGACGCTCGAAATTGCGGCGCTCACGGCGGAACGCGACTCCGCTCGCCAGCAATCAACGGTGAATGCTCCAGCACCTGCACCCGCAAATGCACATGCGCAATGAGAAGAACCGATCGTCATCTCATCAGGCACACCGACGCAACACGACAGCGTGGGACAGCGCTCAGGCGCAGCCAGTGATGGCGCCGCTCAATCGATGCCTGGCATGGAAAGAAATAGGGCCGCACCAAGCCCGCGTGGGCCTCGTGAAGCTCGTCGGCACGTGGAGTTTGCAGCAACAAGTGGCAGCCACGACATCATGGCACCAATGCCACTCAAGCCGCAGCGCCCGCCCTGTTTCGATCCGAGCCAACGTGGAGGTCCGACAGTTCAATCGTGGGTCTTCACGATGAACGTTTTTTTCGACGCGAATTACGTCGAGTCGGACGCAGCGAAGATTCGCTACGCTGTTTCACTGCTGAGGGGCCCCGCCATGGACTGGTGGCGAGTCATCGTGACGTCGCCACGCGCCTACGAGCCACCGTCGCAAGAGGAAGAGCCCACGGGCCCAGCCGTCACCTGGAGTTCATTTTACGAAACCGCCCAGTACAGCACGTGGGATGCGTGGTGCGCAGGGCTTCGGGCGCGCTTCGAGCCGATCGCGGCTTCTATTTCGGCGCGTCAGAGACTGCGTACTTGGCGGCAGCTCGGATCAGTTCAAGACTACACGAGCGGTTTTCTCGCATTATGCGAGCAAGTCGGCTACATGCACGAAGCGGAGCGGGTGGACCGTTACGTCGGAGGGCTGAAGCCGGACATCTCGCACGAAATCATTCTACGCGGGCTCTCGAATTTTAACGAGATCCTCGCGCTCGCCGAGAAAATCGACATTTTGCGCCGTCCGAGACCGGGGTCCTACTACGGACATCGCCCTCGGGGACCGATCGAGCACGCCACCGTACACGCCGTTGCGACGAATGCAGCTGCCGCGCCGTTTAAGGGGCGCTGCTTTGCTTGCAACAGGCCGGGCCATCGCAAAAGCGAGTGCCCAGAGGAGCTAAGGCGCCGCGGAGCAGAGCATGGGAGGGAGTCTCAGAGGCAGGGAAACGCCAGCAGTCAGTAGATATTGGGCCAACTTATCAGATTTATATGACAGAGCTACTGTAGGCTATAGTGGGGTAGCACATATGGGGTACAGCTTTCTAGGGTTTGCCTTTTGTACCCAACTTTCCCTTAGTCATTCATCCCTCGTTTCTTCTCATGGTATCGAGCAGGTTCCCTAGTGGGAACGATTCCTAGGGCCCACCACCACGAAATTTTTTTCCTGCCCGGAGCGCGCTTCGCTCAGGCTCGAGTCGCGCCCTGTGTGCTCCCCCTACCGTCGCGCCCTCGCTAGGCCCCTCACGGCCCCGTCGCGTCGCCCTTAGCGGCCCCCTCACGGCTCGTCGCGCCGCCCCTTACGGCCCTTCGTGCCGCCCTTACGGCCCGTCGCGCCCCTCGCGCCGTCCCTTACGGCCCCTTGCGCGGCCCCTTACGCCCCTTACGGCCCCTCTCGCGGCCCCTCACGGCCCCCTACGGCTCGTCGCCGCCCTCCGCGGCCCCGTCACCTACCTGTGCGGCCCCGCCACCTACCTGTGCGGCCCCGCCACCTACCTGCGGCCCCGCCACCTACTAGCGGCCCCGCCACCTACCTGCGGCCCCGCCACCTACCAGCGGCCCCGCCACCTACCCGCGGCCCCGCCACCTACCTGTGCGGCCCCGCCACCTACCTGTGCGGCCCCGCCACCTACCTGTGCGGCCCCGCCACCTACCTGCGGCCCCGCCACCTACTAGCGGCCCCGCCACCTACCTGCGGCCCCGCCACCAACCCGCGGCCCCGCCACCTACCTGTGCTGGCCCCGCCACCTACCTGCGGCCCCGCCACCTACCAGCGGCCCCGCCACCTACCTGCGGCCCCGCCACCTACTAGCGGCCCCGCCACCCACCTGCGGCCCCGCCGCCTCCTCTCAGCGGCCTCGCCGCCTCCTCCCAGCGGCCCCGGACGCCGCCCTCTCAGCGGCCCCGCCGCGCCGCCAAGTAGCCGAGCCGCCCAGCCGCCGAGCAGCCCAGCCGCCGAGCCGCCCATCAGCCGAGCCGCCGAGCCGCCGAGCAGCCGCGCCGCCGAGCCGCCCTGCAGCCGAGCCGCCGAGCCGCCCAGCAGCCGAGCCGCCGAGCCGCCCTGCAGCCGAGCCACCCGAGCCGCCCTGTCCGGTAAGAGCAGCGCCTCTTTCACAGCACTGCCCTCACCCTACTGTTTGCGCTGCTAGTCTACTGCTGTCATGGCTACCCCTAGTGTCCTCGCTTTTGACGCTGAGGGTCGGGCCATTGACTTTGACGTCTGGATAGATGACCTGCAGCTTTTCTTACAGTGCGACAGAGCAGACGGCCTCTCCCTCTTTGACCTCACTTCTGGTGCCTCCCCTGCCCCCGCTGCTGATGCTGACGCCACTGTTCGCTCACAGTGGGCCACGCGCGATGCTGCTGCACGTCTTGCTGTGCGTCGCCACCTGCCTACCTCTGAGCGTGCACACTTTAGCCAGTACAAGAGTGCTCACACCTTGTACGACGCTGTAGTTGCGCGCTACTCCTCCCCTGCCACTGCTGCACTGAGCCGCCTCATGCTACCGTACCTCTTCCCTGACCTTGCTGCCTTTGCCACAGTCGCTGACCTCATTACGCACCTCCGCACTAGTGACACTCGCTACCGCGCTGCGCTTCCTGCTGAGTTCTGCGCCAAGACCCCCCCCCCCCCATGTACATCACCCTCTACTACATAGTCACCCGGCTCCCTGACTCCCTTCGCGTAGTCAGGGACCACTTCCTCTCAGTTTGCCCCACCACTCTCACCGTTGACCTCCTCGAGAAGTCCCTCCTAGCAGCAGAGAAGAGCATAGTCGCTGTAGGAGCCTCTCGTGGTGACCCTCGCACCCCCATCTTTGAGGGGTGTTCCCCCTCCCCCCTTTTGCCCTCTGTTGCCTCTGCTGCTGCGGCCGACCTCGTTGGGCTTGAGTCGGTCGGTGCGGCGTCTACCCCTAGCGGGAGACGCCGCCCTGGCAAGGGCAAGGGGGGCAGGGGCACTGGAGGAGCTAGCGGGGGCGGTGGAGGCGGCGGTGGAGGCAGTGGAGGGGGTGGGGGTGGCGGTGGGGGTGGTGGTGGGGGTGGAGGTGTCGGTGGCGGCGGTGGAGGCGGAGGCGGCGGCGGCGGTGGAGGCGGAGGCGGCGGCGGCGGTGGCGGTGGGAGCGGAGGTAGCGGCGGTGGAGGAGGCGGCGGCGGAGGAGGTGGAGCTGGTCGGGGTGGCGCTGCGCAGAGGGTCGGCTCCGGTGGTGGTCAGCGCCAGCAGCAGCAGCAGCAGCACCAGCGCACTCGTGACATCCCCCCCCCTCAGCAGCTCCGTGAGTGGTACGCTGCACGCCAGCGGGGTGGGGGTACTGGTCCGTGCACCTACGTCCTCCGCACCGGCGACCGCGCGGGTGACCAGTGCGGGGGTGCGCACTCCACCCAGCGCTGCTTTGGC